CGTTAGTACTTTAGTACTATTATTTATTCTGTGGTCTGGGTAGGTTCCACCTTCTTATCTAATAATAGCAGAGTTTGCATTTTTGTGTTCTGGTTTGAATAGTATACAGTCAGTGTAATTACAGACTGAGAGACTTTCCATCTCAGTCCTTAGTTTTTTTTTTTATAGGAGCGGGGGCAAACGTGCATGCGGCTCACCTGATGGTAAGTGACTATTGCGGCAATAGTATTGCCGCCCATGAACAACTGCAACACCATGGGAACCAGGGGAATTGCAGATGCATTGCCGGCCTTTTATGTAACAATGCGTATGTAGACTTCTTTGTATGAAGTTGGCTAACAAGTGGACAGTCAGAACGTTTTAGTCCAAATTTAGTTGAGTGGTTCCAGTTTGAAGTCGTTTCTTTAAAAGTTTTACTTTTTTTTACTTTCTTTTAACATTATCAGTACTAGCTAGTAACAATTCTCAACTAAATACATTATTTTCAAGTTATCATTTCGATTTAAAACGGGTGATGTCACAGCGCAGAATGCATGTCGGGACGGCGGCCGTGAAACTACGGAGTAAAGAACCACTACGCATTGACGTTATCATTGGCAAGGTGATTGAAGGCCGTCGGAAATTCTCCGCCGCCTGGATAGAATGCGGAAAGTTGTTGAACTCACTGCTTCGTACATGACTAAATAAGGTTCTCGAACTATACAAGGTTGGCTGTACGAAAATTAAGAGACTTCCTCGGGTGCTGTATGGAGCAGAGGAGTACAATCCGTAAGATCCTATGTTATCTAGGCGAGTGCATGACGGCTATGGAATGCCGGATTAGGATAAGAAAAGGGAATCTTCCGAGTGATATTTTAAGTCAAATCTGGATTTGCCACTCTCTGAATCCTTTTAGTACATTACTGGAAGGCTCAATGAGGAGATTTCAGCTTCAGAGCGGTGAGAAAAAAGTGGTCCACCTTTTCTACATGGATGACCTCAAGTTGTTTGCTTTTAATCGCTCCCATTTTATGAAATTGCAAAACGTTACTACAAAAAAAAAAAACTATAACTACGAGTATCAAAATGGAGCTCGAGACAGATAAGTACATCGCTAACACTGAGGGTGTTAACTTGTCTATGCATCTCAACATGAGAAGCTAAAACATACCGGTACCTTGTTATATCACACAACATTGGTATCGATGAGGCAATGGATGGTAAGCGTGCCTTTTCAAATGCCCTCGATATGCACAATCAAAATTTTAAATGTGGTAGAGCCATGCTGCAGCTATATTAATTGTATACTTGTAGCACGAATGGGAAGGACCACACTCTCACAGAATACCAGCGTAAAATAGCAGCTTAACACTGCTGTGTTTCGTATGGCGAGTGTAGAGAACCGGAGACCCTTTTTTACTGGAAACGAGGCATTCCATCTTAGTCCTCACGGGTGACAACGCATCTGCATTTTGATTCGTGATTGAGGATAGATGTAGATGTTTATGGGCCACAGCAACCACTTACCATCAGGTGGACTGTGTGCTCTTTTGTCATCTTTATCCTATAAAAAAAATCTTTATCATCATCATCATCATTACAGCCTTTCATAAGTCCACTGCTGAACATAGGCCTCCCCCAAAGAATGCCACAAAGCACGGTCATGAGCCACCTGCATCCATCGACTTCCTGCATGTCTTACCAGGTCGTCACTCCATCTAGTGGGGGGACGCCCTACACTTCGCCTGCCGGTACGAGGCTGCCACTCGAGAACCTTTCTTCCCCATCGGTTGTCGGTTCTTCGAGCTATATGGCCGGCCCACTGCCACTTCAGCTTACTGATCCGTTTTGCTATGTCGGTTACTCTGGTTCTACTGCGGATATACTCATTTCTAAGTTTATCATGCAGAGAAACCGCGAGCATAGCCCTCTCCATAGCTCGCTGAGCGACCTTGAGCTTCTTCATACGGCCAGCAGTGAATGACCACGTCTCAGATCCGTAAGTCATCACTGGCAACACGCACTGGTTGTACAATTTCGTTTTAAGGTTTTGAGGTATGTCTGACGAGAAGATGGGTCGTAGTTTCCCGAACGCTGCCCAGCCGAGTTGAATCCGTCGATTGACCTCTCGGTCGAAGTTGGAGTTACCTATTCGGACTATTTGTCCCAGGTAAACATACTCGTCAATAACTTCGAGCTTAGTGCTCCCAACAACTACCGGCATAGGTGTGATATGGACATTAAACATGATCTTTGTTTTGTCCATGTTCATTCTAAGACCCATTCGTTGGGAGACACTATTGAGGTCATAGAGCATGGTGCTTAGGTCCTCTAGCGATTCTGCCATGAGGACTATATCGTCGGCAAATCGAAGGTGAGTGATGTACACGCCATTGATGTTAATACCGTATCCTTTCCAGTCCAGAAGCTTGAAAACGTCTTCAATTGCAGCGGTGAAGAGTTTCGGGGATATAACGTCACCCTGTCTTACACCTCTCTGCAATTGGATAGGTTTCGTACTCTGGTTCTGTACTCGGATAGCCATCGTTGCTCTACTGTACAAACACTTCAGCACTTCGCTATACCGACAGTCAACTTGGCACCGCTGAAGGGACTGCAGCACCGCCCAAATTTCGACGGAATCAAAGGCTTTCTCATAGTCCACATACGCCAGACATAGTGGCAAATTGTACTCCTCTGACTTTTGTACAATTTGCCGAAGGGCATGTATGTGGTCTATGGTGCTAAAACCTTTTCGGAAACCGGCTTGTTCGGGAGGCTGGAAGTCGTCAAGTCTGCGTTTGCAGTTTTGAGTTGTTATCAGGAAGATGCTGCTACCCATCTGCTGGCTTGTTTCCCTTTGTCGCCGCTTACCTCCGTGCCCGAAGTCAATCAGATCGCATGCGTCATGTTATAATCCTCCTGCCCTTATCCCAATTTATTTGGGGTCGGCGCAGCATGTTGTCTTCCATATCTCCCGATCAGCCGTCATCTCAGTATTTACCTCCTTTTAGCCATATAATCGTACACACAATCCGTCCTATGTCTTTGTTGCTCAAGGTTTTTCGCTGATTTTAAAAATGGCCGCCTTGCTGACATTAACCCTCCTTGGGAATGCTTTCGTTTAGCAGTGTGCTTGTTTAACACTAAGAGAACGCTGCATTCCCTCGTGTGATTCCCTTAGTTGCCTTTTGCGACACCCATCGAGAAGAGATGGGGTGACGCTTTTTTACATTCGGTACCACAGGCGCGCACGATAGCTACATTAGGATGACTTCTTATAATAATACTAATTATGTAATAAATAATTACAAATATTACGCATTCACAATAGCTTAAGATCCCTGCGAAATGCAGGTTGGCAACAGTCTCAATACAGTACACAAAAGTATTTACATACGTGATAGAGCCATGCTGCAGATATATTACTCCTATAGTTGTAGCACGAATGGGTCGGCTCAACCGGGGAAAGACCACGCTCTCACAGAATACCAGCGTAAAATAGCAGCTTAACGCTGTTGTGTTTCGTATGGTGAGTGTAGAGAACCGGAGACACTTTTTACTGGAAACGAGGCATTTTCTTCAATATTACCGTTTCGAAAACACTTATGCAAAAATCTTTATAATCATTAAAGTTTATTTTACCGTCATATCAGTATAATTTATACCTCAAAAGTAGGGAAAACAAATTCTTCATAAAAAACCAGAAGGAAGTTAGCGTAAACAATTTTAAAAAAAATTAAACTGTATGCCAATTAATTGCTCCTTAAATGCTCCCTTCATACGTTATTGTATCTACGTCTATTCCTATTAATTAATTTATAATACATGTTTTAAATATAAAATTTTCGAAAATTTTATATGAATATATGGATAAAAATGATGTTCTACGCTAACTTCCTTCTGGTTCTTATAAACCGTTTTTTTTCTGTCTGGTAGGAAACTGTGTTAGTGTTATCCCACCTCACTATACATCGATATGTTTTTCAATTTTGACTTATATGATATAAGCTGTGCGAGGACAGACTGTCTCAAAATCATCGCTTACGGTTTTGATTTCAGGGACGAGCCAGTTATTTTATAGTACTAAATCTCGTAAAAAATATCAAAAATTGTGTCATCTAAAACATCTAAACCAGTGACAAATGATTTCAAGTTGTCGTCACGTCTGGTAGATAGTAATATTAGAAAAACAAGACCTAAAATTGAAGCCATTTAGTTGAATTCGTTGGTTGCCTGACGGCAAATATGGCCTAGGTCGCACAAATTTACGTGTCCACGTTAATTTAACTTCGTTCGATTACGGTAATTCTAGCTAAAGCTTCGTCTCTCTGATTCATCGGCTTCCAGCATTCTGTTGCTGTTAGCCGCCGTGCATTGAGTATCGTTCCATTAGTAACCAGTAAGTGTTCTACATTATGTTTGGTAATCACATTTCAGATACGTCTATCGTTGTCGCTTTTTTTGGACTTTTTTTTATAGAATAAGAGTAACTAACGATCACAAAGTCATCTTGTTGGTAAGTGTAAAAGTGTCACAGCAGCATTAAGCTACTATTTGACTCGGACGAGCCGACCGATTCGTACTATAACTTATTTATATATTCGTACTATATTCGTAATAACCAATGGTTGGTATTTGGTTCTTCAATATATTTCTTCATTACGAATCTTATCCACCAAAAACCCCGAGCATATTTCTGTCTATTACGATTTCAAGCTTGTGGAGTAGTCAAACTGTACAAGCTAATCGGAGATTGCAATTTGCAGATACATTGCGTATGCTGCAGCCATGACATGTCTGGATGTTATATATTTGGCTTAAATATGTATATGTATATATCTATACAACAATATATACATATATGTCTGCCGTTTATTTATTTTTCTCGTTTTTGTAATATTTTATAAGAACCTTCTTTTGGGTTCAAACTGATTCCTTTCTACTAACCGAAAAAAATATTAATTCGTGTTTTTTATGATCTGTATTAGAAGTATTAAAAATAATATGCAGCTACTTACAGAATGCGGCTAATCCAGCACCGAATGCTATCTGCTGGTGTGGCAATAACATTGGTCGCGGGCATAAGGGTAAAGGCGGTGGTGGCGTCCATAGTTGGTGCACCCTCGCTTTCAAGTTTTCGTTTTCACCTATCTCTACTTCAGAACTAGACTCACTGTCAGACTCCTGCTTCTTTTGTTCTACTACTTGAACTTGTGTTTGCTGGGCAGTTTCTAAATGCCCATAGATACGCGCGAAAAATTTCCTTGGCGACGATGGTCGTGGAGATTGCACTGATGTAGCTTTATGTATGTCATCTTTTCTTAGTTCTTCTGTCATTATAATTAAATTGTACTTCTTCTTAGTATTTTAAAATTATTTTCACAATTTTAAGCAGATACTACAATTGTTTAGTTAAAACACTACAAACACAATAAAAACATTGAATGCTAAATCAAAACAATGGACACATATTATATTTTCTATAATCCAAACAGGACAAACAAAATTATTTACCGCGTAGTTTAAGGTATCGTGCTAAGGTTTTAAATATTAAAATGCCAAGTGACACACGTGTTGTCCAGTGGCTATATACACGTGGATTGGAGTCTGCGTCAGGTGCGTTCGCCATCCCTCGGGAACTCCAGCCACGCCCAATTGATGTCCTTCACCCCCACGGGTACTTGAATTTAGTGGATAGAGGGGTGAGCGACCAATGGGAACGTTTAATGTAAACCTACCCAACCCACTAAGGCGGGTTTTATCGTATTTTGATTTACACTATCGATATTATCGTTGTTTATTTTTAATTTATTCTGTGACAAACAGAACTGTAATACCACAGAATAAAATATAATACTAAAAAATATCTTTTAATTTCCGTATTTATGGCGTATTAGAACATCTTTTTGGGTTTTCAATTATTTGTTTTAGCAACTATATCCAGTGGTGCAAAATACAGCCTCTTAATTAAAAAAAAATACAACAGGTTCGATTCCGAGCAGTTATTGTTTTATTTATAGATATCCGTCAGTCGATCAATCCTATAAAATGTACAAAAATATACCTATGTCGGTTTTTTGACACACCACACATCAAATCGCACGAACCTTGTCAATCGCCAAATAAATCCCCAAGTCTCCCAAACATTGGTGGTGTTATTAATTACATAACATTTATGTTAATAACTATGTAATAAAATAACCTACATAAGTTGTGTACGATATCTTACCCAAATATTTGTTTGAGTTTTTTGAGGTTCTGGAATATGTATTCTAGAAAATAATCACCCTAGGGAATCATAGAAAGAATGTCGTAACCTAGTAAAATGAGTGTAGGTACATAGCGTTTACGTCATTCCAAAAATGCATCCTGCATACCTTCAGCGAGCAAGTCGTTGCTTCGATCACATATATTAGGTGATATACCGTCAGTGTCGTAAGAGGCAACAGATTAAAACAAACCAGGAAATGGACAGAAGCGTCTCTCTAATAACATCTAAAAAATAAAAAAAATGCTGTCTGCCATGTATGATAACAATTGACTAATACAGTGTATCCCTCGGTAAAGTGCAACCCCGAAAGGGGGTGACCATAAACGATATTTTTGACGAATTAAGATTTTTATACTCTATGTACAAAAAATAACGAATTCTTCCAAAGTAGTGGGTCGATTACTTTAAAATAAAAAAAAAAAAATATTATGCCACGTAGTTTGGAAAAATAACATAACAAATAATGGTAAAATAACAATTAGCTCGCAAAAAAGTGGCGTCGTGACTTTAATTTTGCTTTTTGTGAAAAAAAAAAAGCATTTTTATGATTGTTCTTTTAAATGATCTCTAATTTTCTCAGATTTTTTTTATAGGACAAGGGTGATAAACGAGCGCACAGTCCACCAGATGGTAAGTGGTTGCTGTGGCCCATAGACATCTACATCTATCTTCGATTACGAATCAAAATGCAGATGAGTTGTCACCCGTGAGGACTAAGATGGAATGCTTCGTTTCCAGTAACAAAGGTCTCCGGTTCTCTACACTCACCATACGAAACACAGCAGCGTTAAGCTGCTATTTGACGCTGGTATATTATTCTCTACCACATTGCCTCTCAAATAAAAAAAATCTACGTTGTAACCCAAAACCACGCTGGCTAATTAATAATAAAAAATTAAGGGTCATCCCCACTCCTACACCCTAGATTGCCCCTGCGGCAGGCAGGTCAGTAGCCATCTTAAGACTTTTTAAAATTTAAGTCAATTCAATGGGGGGGGGGGGGGGGAGACTTATGTTCAGCTTTGGACATTTGATAGGCTGTAACGGTTACGGTAATGGTTTGTTTAAAAAATTATTTGTAATGTGATATGTGAATAAAGAGACGAGTATCTCTGGGTTTAGGTTTTTAATAAGACTATTCTAAATTCTCATAACTTAATCCAGATTTCGTTAGATTAGTTAGATTTCGTTCTTTTACAAAGGACTTTAACAGCGTTTATAAAAAAAAATAAAGCGTCTGGATGTGAAATATTACTGACCCTTCGTTCGTCGACTCTTTTTCGATCTTATCGGAAGGCGTTTCATTAGAAACGGAAAGGTGAAGACATTCAAGTGTTCAGTGCATGTGCGTTTATATGAACACTTACCATTAATTACATATTTTTTTTATAAAATTGAATTGAGAAACGAACATACAGTCCAGGTGATGGTAAGTGACTATTGGAACCCATGGATAACTGCTGCCAACTTCAAATAAAAATGCGTCGTCCCATCTGAGGATTAAGATAGAATGCCCATGGCCTGTCTCTCTATGTATAGACCGCAACAGTAGTGCACTCACTGCTAACTGATGGCAGAAATAGGTAAGAGTGTGGTACTTGCATAGACGGACAGCAAAGAAGGCGTCCTATCACCTAGTATGTACCCGTAATAGATGATACATTCTAACTTTCCTCATGGCCTGGCTCTCTATGTATAGACCGCAACAGTGGTGCATGCACTCTTGGTGGCATAAATAGGTAAGAGGGTGGTACATGCACAGACGGACTGCAGAGAAGGAGTTCTATCACCTAGTATATACCCGTAATAGATGATATGTTCTAATTTTCTGTTCCGTTAGAGAGCTTTGCATTCTTTTAATATCTCGTATAAGCTCTCTGATGTAACAATTAGCTTCATGGTGCTAGCACAGATTAAATAATGTTATTACGTAAGTGATTGGGTCTACTCACAGAGAAAGCTCCGGTATACCAGTCATTAGGAGAAAGGCTTGCTACGTTCCTTCATTTTACACTTTTTAGTAGAATGTCATAATTTTAATTGATATTTTATTTAAGTGACGAACTAACTTATACTTACACCTATGGCAAGTGGCTAATGCAATCCCTGGACACCAGCAGTGAACTTCGAACTTTTTAAATTATTACAGTATTGAATTTTGTTTTCAAATCTAGTTAAAATAAAGCTATAGGTTTAAGAGGTTGGAATGAAAAACGCCTCCAAAAGGACGTCCAAACAACTTAAACAATATAGAATTATTTTTTCCTGGCTGACTTTACTATTACTAACGAGAAAAAATTAATATGCTGCTTGGTGGTCAAAGCACCTGACCACGATGGTTCAAGTTTATGAGTTATTGTTGTATGGATGTACTTAACTTAATTTTTTTTTGTTTTGAATTTTTGACAAGTTCACATTCAATCATTTTATATGTTTATGAATATTGTGTGGGAACTTACGCTATTATATTTCTTGGAAAAGTTGACTTACCTACTCTTTTTTTTTTATAATCATCCGACTTTACATTATATCTTTTGGGATCACAAGCATTAATAAGCCAACTTTATTATTCCGTAACAGTAACAGTCCGTTACAATCCACGGCTGGACGTGGGCTCTTTCCATTATGGGAAGGATATGCCACACTGACCTCTATATATATTTATCCATAATCGCTAAGCTTGGCGGGATTGGCGATCGTAATTATGTATTACACATTTGACGTTGCCCTGTAGCTTGCCTAAATCTTGGAAAAATATTTTAGTATTATTTTTTTGAAATAGATCCTATATGTATTACAAAAAAGTACTCGAAAAAAGTACCATTAAGACAGGATAACGTCAAATATTGTCAAAATAAATCTTATGAAATATCAATGACTTATTTTCATTATAAAATACATTAAGCACTGATGTATGTGTGTAATCGATAATAATATAATATATGTAATTAGTTTCTTATATGATCTTTGGTAATTCACAAATATGGAAAGAAACGGACCAATATTATCAGCTGTTTGTACGTTGTTGTTTCTTTCGTTAAATTTTACTTTCCCATTACGAAAAGAGACGTCCACTTCGTCTGCAAGAGCTCTTTATGCTAATCGTAAGATATGACAACAGCCTTAAATATATATATTGTGTATAGTATGGTTCATATTATATTTTCATTATTATACTAGTGTAGTTTTGTGTATTTAGCACTATAAAAGGCTTAGTTAGGTAGTTTTTTTTTCATAGTATTCAACTTATAAAAGAGGTATCAATCCTCCAGAAGAATAAGTGGCTAATGCAGACCATAGATACCTTCAAATAATTTTAAACAAAGAAGGCCACAGATGCTTTGTTATTCCTGTGGTCTAAAATGAATTGTCTCACAGTCTGTAATAATTATTGTAGATCTCTTTCCCTTCAAACTGGAACATAGCAGTGGGTACACTCTCAAAACAGAATTTTCTTTCTGTTCCGTGGGTACACTGCTTCTTGCTGGCAAAAATAAATAAGGGAGTGCAACTCAGTCGGATCCCTAGGCAGAAATGGAACCTTATCACCTTGTTATGAGGGTTTGCCGTAATCGCTACAATAAGCATACTGGCATATTTTACTAGACCGTTTTAAATTGTCACGGATTTGTGTAGTTATTATTATTTTTTGTAATTAAATATTTTTTATGAATAGGTATATTGTATATATGTATATTTCAAATAAGAATGTATCTAGGTATAATCCTAATTTCTAATTGTTCAGAAACTCTCCAATGTGGTGTACATCATGAAACCATTGCCGAAAAGACGAAAAACATAGCAGCCGGTTTGCAAAACGCAATTAGAAAAATAAGAAATTCCACTCAAAAAGAAATTGGCGCATATTCAAGTCTTAGAAATTTTCCTAACAAAAACATACTAAACGAAGAAGACCTCCGTCAGTATGAACAATTAGTTATCATGAAAAAATATCCATTTTTAGATATTAAAGAATTAGAGATGAAATATAGTCCAACATCAAATAAAGATACAAGACAAAGCGTTAAATTTCATTCTAGGGTGAATATTGTACCCGATTCTGTTA